GAGGATGAAAAGGATGGCGGTAAGAGGGAGAAGTTGGCGAAGGGTGGTGAAGAAGGAAGAGAAAGGAGGGAGAGACGAGGGGGTTGCAATAAGAGCAGAAACATCGGTGGCAGATGAGTGTGCCGTGCCGTGAGTCATGCCGCATTCAGACCTCGACTTTTCTCTCCCCGCAATAAAACTCGGTAATATTACCGGGGTAATCTGCCCCGTGGGTGCGTCCGGTTGTGAATTCACCCGCCGGTAATTAAAGTCTCTCGTACTTTTCTCTCGTACTTGCTCTCTTTATTTCGATCGAGCCTACCGCTACACGCTGATAACTCCAGACGGTCTTCCGATGTCCTTCGTCTTCAATTATGGATTTTCGATTTGAGAGAGGATTTGCGAATTTGCGGTTCTCGGATTTGGGAGGTTTGGTTTTTGAATAGAGGAATTTGGAAATTTTGGGGAGTGGAGAGTGGAAACTTGGGTAGGTTGGATTTCGAAGAGAGGGATTTGGAAAATTTAGGGAGTGGAGAGTGGGAATTTGGGTGGGTTTGATTTTGAGGAGTGGGATTTGGAAATTTTGGATCTTCAGAAGTGGGAACTTGGGTGGGTTGGATTTTGAAGAGAGGGATTTGGAAAATTTAGGGAGTGAAGAGTGGGAATTTGGGTGGGTTTGATTTTGAGGAGTGGGATTTGGAAATTTTGGATCTTCAGAAGTGGGAACTTGGGTGGGTTGGATTTTGAAGAGAGGAATTTGGAAAATTTAGGGAGTGGAGAGTGGGAATTTGGATGGGTTTGATTTTGAGGTGTGAGATTTGGAAATTTTGGGGAGTGGAGAGTGGAAATTTGAGTGGGTTGGATTTTGAAGAGAGGGATTCGGAAATTTTGGAGAGTGGAGAGTGGCAACTTGGGTGGGTTGGATTTTGAAGCGAGGGATTTGGAAATTTTGGGAAGTGGAGGAGTAGAAATTTGGGTGGGTTGGATTTTGAAGAGAGGGATTTGGAAATTTTGAGAAATGGAAGAGTGGAAATTTGGGTGGGTTGGATTTTGGAAAGAGGGATTTGGAAATTTTGGGAAGTAGAGAGTAGAAATTTGAGTGGGTTGAATTTTGAGAAGTGGGATTTAGAAATTTTGAATCTTGGGGAGTGGGAACTTGAGTGAGTTGGATTCTAAATATTTGATATATGCAAATTTGGGATTTCGCCCATATGGAACTTGGGAATTTAGGGGGTTTAGTAGTAGGATTTGGAAATATTGAATTTAGAATAGTGGGAACTTGCAAATTTTATATTTTGAGTATCTGAACTGCAACTACTTGGACTTTGACTATTCAGAATTTGCTACATTGTTATTCAAAATTCAAACTCTTTCCAAACTTCAACCAGAAAACCTCAATTTGGGTCTTTGACTACCCACTTCAAATTCGTAATCCCTACAATATTTTGCTCCTATTTGCAAGTTGAAGTACTCTAATATCTGCACTGTCAAACTTCGGGCGCTAGAAAATTTGAAATTTAAAGCTTCTATCTCGTACAGTTAAACTCTGTAATATTATCTTGGCAATCTCGTAGGTTCATCCAGTTGTGAATTCAGCCGGTAATTAAAGCCTCTGATACTTTTTCTCACCCCTCCGTTTCTCTCCCTATCTCCGCCGCTTGTATCTCGCAACCCTCTCTTTGATAGCTCTAAACGCGAGACGGTTTTTGTTCAGTACTTTCTCTATTTCACTCGGTGAATTCACGGAATTAATTTATTTATATTATAGTATATACAAGTTGATACAAATTATTGTTATAATTTGTAAGAACGAGAAATGCGTGGAGAATAATCGGAGCGCGCATAGAAGGGATTACACGAGCGTTTAACCAAAGCACCGCGACGCTCGGCGTCCGTTAACCAAAGGCTTTACCACCCCTTTCGTGAAATCGAATTGCGCTTTGACGCGAGGGGTGGCCCAGTAATCTGGTCCGCATTCAACTCGCGCCCTAAACCAACCCCTTTACTTCTCTTACCTCCCTTATCGTTGCTTCGGACATATACTGGGTGTTCGCGATGGTATCACACACTGAACATCGATACAGAAAAAAGTTGCGCACTTTACTACACACGCTATGACCTACATCAACTTTTTGTTGTCGCGTTATTTTTCGAGAAACCGGTCGCTCCATTTTTAGACGCTATTTTTGGATGTACGAAAATTCAAGACGAATTTTTTGTGTGACGTACGTGATCGTGTTGTTTATAAATTATCGTGACAGTTTTCTGTGATCTTTTTTTTAAATACTATAGTCGTTGTAAACAGTGGTCCTCCCAAAGAATGGACATTGTAAACGATAGTCGTTAAGAATAAAAGTCAAGAACAGTAGCGATCAGAAATAGTAGACATCAACAACAACGGTCTTCCCAAACATTGACCATTAGAAACGATAGTCGTTAAAAATAATAGTCGTCAAAAATAGTAGACATCAAAAACAGTGGTCCTCCCAAACAGTGGCCATTACAAATGATAGTTCGTCAAAATAATAGTCATCAAGAACAGTACTCGTAAGAAATAGTAGACATCAAAAACCGTGGTCCTTTCAAACTGTGACCATTACAAACGATAGTCGTTAAAAATAATAGTCGTCAAAAATAGTAAACATCAAAGAGACATGGTCCTCCCAAACAGTAGTTCTCCCAAGCAGTAATCTCACAAACAGTAGTTCTCCCAAACAGTAGTCCTCCCAAACAGTGGTTCTCCCAAACACTGATCCTCTAAATAGTGGTCCTCACTAACAATAGTTTTGCCAAACATGGATCACCCCAAACAGTGGTGCTCCTAAACAGTGATCCTTCCAAACAGTGGTTCTCCCAAACACTGATCCTCCAAACAGTGGTCCTCACTCACAATAGTTCTATCAAACAGTGATCACACCAAACAGTAGTCCTCCCAAACAGTGGTTCTCCCAAACACTGATCCTCTAAACAGTGGTCCTCACTAACAATAGTTTTGCCAAATATGGATCACCGCAAACAGTGGTGCTCCCAAACAGTGGTCCTCACTAACAATAGTTCTACCAAACAGTGATCACACCAAACAGTGGTTCTCCCAAACAGTGATCACCCCAAACAGTGGTCTTCCCAAACAGTGATCCTCCCAAATAATGGTCCTCCCAAACAGTGATCCTCCCAAATAGTGGTCCTTCCAAACAGTGGTTCTCCCAAACACTGATCCTCCGAACAGTGGTCCTCACTAACAATAGTTCTACCAAACAGTGATCACACCAAACAGTGGTTTTCCCAAACAGTGACCACCCCAAACAGTGGCCCTCCCAAAATGTGATACCCTCAAACAGTGGTCTTCCTATACAGAGATGCCCCCAAACAGTGATGCCCCTAAATAGTGATCTTTACTAACAGTAATTCTTCCATACAGTGGTCCTCTGGAACAGTAATCCTCTCAAAGAGTGGTTCTCCAAAACAGTGATCCTCCCAAACAGTGATCCTCCCAAACAGTGATCCTCCCAAATAGTGATCCTCCCAAATAGCGATCTTCCCAAACACTGGTCATAACAAACAATACCCATTAAAAATAGTACCCGTCATAAACAGTAATAGTCAAAAGCAGCATTCCCCCAAAACTTTGCTCGTCAAAAATAGTGGTCTCGAAAAACAGGTCGATATCACAGCGAGCACCCTGTGTATAATTTTCGCCCGTCGGTTTTAAGAGCAAGGGTGCGCAAAGGCAGGAGAAGAACGAGGGTGCGAACGCGACTTCGAAAAAGGGTTGCGGCATAAAACTGCATCGATGCTCTTCGAATCCATCGATTTCTGTTTTTATTCGACTTTCGTAACAGGATCAAGTTTCTCGCTGAGATTCAATTTAAAACAGGTTTTAAAAATAACTGGTTGAACGGATGAAATAATAACCGACGAAGTACGAGTCTCGGTGCAATTTGTCCTTGATGACGAACACGCATAGAAACGCGGCTTAATGCGTCAGCTCGTTTAATAAAATGTTAATAGTACCGCGAATCGTTTTTCTACCCGTAACTGACTTTCATTACTCGTCGCACGGATGAAAAGTTAAAGCGATCCGGCAATAACGAGAGATAAATTGATACGGTGATTTGTCGCGTATCCGTAATGGATGATAGAGAGCCGGAATCGCGGCGTTGAGATAAGGATAGAAGGGAAAAAAAGGAAAAATTGGTACACGTCTTTTAGCACGGCCGCTAAATACCCGGTCAGGATAATCTCCGGTGAATGCGTGCATCTGTCGAGCAAAGCGAAGAGCCTCTAATGACTAGGCGCGGGAAATTTTCGAGGAATCGAGGTCGCGCATTTCGCTCGACGAAAACCGCGCTGTCTTCCACGCTCGACATCCGGAACGTTTCGCTTCAGCTTCTGCTCGGGCCGCGATGCAAAATTAGGTCGTTTTCAGATACACCACCTTTTATACCTCTCAAACGCCCGATACAAAATTATGGCTTTTACCTCGCCTTTCGACTCTGCGTTTCATTCGCCAAATTTCACCTTTGATTCGTCGTTTCAAATTTCGGCGTTTGGAGTTTTTATTGGGGGCGATTGCAGCGTTTGAGATTTTCTAGCTTCGAAATTTGGGATTTGGAATTTTTTGGACTTGAAATTTAGGATTGCGATGTGGGAGTAATTGAAATATTTGGGATTTTTCTACTTTTCGAATTTCGAATTTGGAATTTTTAGGATTTGAAATTTAGGACCTGGTGTTGCGATGTGAGAGTGATCTGTAATATAAGAAGGTACTTAAAGCTTCCGTGCGCATAAAAGTCCATTTCTCTGTTTGCAGAGATTTGTCGTTTTTTGGACTTAAAATTTAAGACTGCGATGCGAGAGTGATTAGAGTATTTGGATTTATATTTTTCTATTTTCGAAATTTATAATTTGAAATTTTTAGAACTTGAATTTTAGGACTTGTTTTTGCAATGTGGGAGTGATCTGTAATATAAAAAGGTATCTAAAGCTTCCGTGCTCATAAAAGTCCATTTCTCTGTTTGCAGGGTTGAAATACCTTCACTCGGCCAGAATCCTTCACAGGGACATTAAGCCAGGAAATTTACTCGTGAACAGTAATTGCGTATTGAAGGTGAGCCTATAATTTTCTAAATGACTTCATTTGAAAATCCCTTACCCGACGCGGTTATTGTCGGACTGTCGGAGAAGAAGAAAAGGAAATAATGAAAATTTGTTGGGAACTCGCAGATCTGCGACTTCGGTTTGGCTCGAGTAGAGGAACCCGACCAGAACAAGCACATGACTCAGGAAGTGGTGACGCAGTATTATCGTGCACCGGAAATCCTGATGGGAGCACGGCATTACACGGCCGCCGTGGATGTTTGGAGCGTTGGTTGCATTTTCGGCGAACTTCTTCGTCGGCGGATTCTCTTCCAGGCACAGAGTCCTGTGCAACAGGTTAGTCCTTGCACCTCTTGTCCTTTGAGAACCTCTCCAAATTAACGGACTTCCTTTTTGCACACCAATAGCATTCGAGCATTTTAGCTCTGAGTCATTCTTTACTATTTGCAATTTTGTTTTAATCAAAATATGTTATAGTCCATGTAAAATTAAGGGGTGTTTAAGTCATCATTTTGTCAATTTCAAATATGTTAAGAAACAAGCCTTCAATATTTGCAATTTTTGCCCACATTGTCGAAAACTTCGCTTACGAATTTTTTTCTCAGAAACTACTTATCCGATCTGGCTCCATTTTTTCTGTTTTGTTCATAAAGAATTAGGCTGTCACAAAATATTTTTTTTGGCTTGATGAATTTGTTTTGTAATATCGGAAAATTTAAAGAAATTCTTTCTCTATGTTTGTTTCAATGAGAAGTGTAAACAAGTTAAATTTAACATCGACCCACATTATTTCAACTAACCACGTTATTTATATAAATAGATTTTTTGCTGAAATTATTCTGAGTATTCTAGCAGTAAAAGTAGCCTTTTAGCTGCTATAAAGATCGTGAAGGGTTGAATCCCTTCCGTTATTTAATGCTCTTTCATTTGTCCTCCGATGTCCGTTGAAGTTGGCAACGATCAGAGTTTAAAAGGGAACACGTTTTCGTTGATTCGCAGCTGGAACTGATCACAGAACTGCTCGGCACACCAACCCTCGAGGACATGAGGTATGCTTGCGAGGGTGCGAGATCCCACATGCTCAGGCGTGCACCAAAGCCACCCTCGTTGACGGCCCTCTACACCCTCAGCAGCCAGGCGACGCACGAGGCCGTCCATTTGCTCTGCCAGATGCTAGTCTTCGATCCTGTAAGTTCACCCCTCAGAGATCTCACGATTCGCGATATAATCACCGGCAAGGGTAGATCGCTGTGGATCGCTAACGTTTGATGCGGTCGCTATGAATATTTGCTCATTGAAATTTTCTATTTTAAAAATTTCGTGCTCGAGATTCGAGTGTTTCAAAATTTAAGACTTCTTGGTAGTCAAGGTATTTTAGATTCGAGAATTTTGTGATTTAGGGTTTTGAGTATTTGAGAAGTTGGGATGGGAGGCTTGAGTGTTGGGAAATCTGGATTTGATATTTTGAGGGCTTGACAATTGGAAATTTGATACTTTGAGCACCTGACAATTGGTAATTTGATACTTTGAGGACTTGAACATTAGATATTTGATACTCTAAGTGTCTGAGAATTGGAAATTTGATACTTTGAGCATCTGAGAATTGGTAATTTGATACCTTGAGGGCTTGTACATTGGAAATTTGATACTCTGAGTGTCTGAGAATTGGAAATTTGATACTTTGAGCACCTGAGAATTGGCAATTTGATACTTTGAGGGCTTGAACATTGCAAATTTGATACTCTAAGTGTCTGAGAATTGGAAATTTGATACTTTGAGCATCTGAGAATTAGTAATTTGATACTTTGAGGGCTAGAACATTAGAAATTTGATACTTTGAGCATCTGAGAATTGATAATTTGATACTTTGAGAGCTTGGCCATTGGAAATTTGATACTCTGAGTGTCTGAGAATTGGAAATTTGATACTTTGAGCATCTGAGAGTTGGTAATTTGATACTTTGAGGGCTAGAACATTGGAAATTTGATACTCTGAGTGTCTGAGAATTGGAAATTTGATACTTTGAGCACCTGAGAATTGGTAATTTGATACTTTGAGGGCTTGACAATTGGAAATTTGATACTCTGAGTGTCTGAGAATTGGTAATTTGATACTTTGAGCACTTAAACATTGGAAATTTGATATTTTAAACACTTGAAAATAGAAAACTTGATACTTAGAGCACCTGAGTCTAATTTTAAAGACACAACTTCTCGGTACCGTAATAAAAATTTGATCGGAACTTTCATCCCATGCATCAGAATTTATGATCCCGTTCGAAGCATACACTTTTACGAAGTATCGTGCGGAAAGCGAATCGTTCATCCGCCGGTTTTTCTTTATTTATCAGACACGTGTACTGTTGGTAATATCTCGGAGTTTTGAACCTTAAGCTCCGGAGACATCGAACTTCTTCGAGGTACATATTTCATGTTCGACGAAAAGCAACGACGTTTTCGCGACTTATCGGTGAAGAGACGTCGATATGGCTGGCCAGCCACTGATAACGTTACGATTCCTCTTCTCAAAGTTTCACTCTTCTCGGTAAACATGGGAGAGCAAGTACTCCACTCTAAGATCTATCGCCGCGATCATGCTGCTTTCCAGGAAACTGACCAACTTTTCAACTTCGACTTGTTTTCTGTTGAGTATCGACTTCGATTTTCGGTCTGGGAAATTTTCAATCTGACCAGAATTTTTTGGACATATTGGATCAATTGTCTAATTTGACAATGACAATTAAATATTGTTATAAAGTGCTCTGAGTTCTGTTTAATTTAATACATTGCTATGTTCATGACGCTGAACTTGATTTGCATATTTAACCCTTTGCGCTCGAGAGGCGCCTCTTAGGCGCCATTTGATTTAATACAATAATTTAAAAGAAGCATTATTTAATTAATTCTATAATAGTGCTTATGTGATGTATAAACATAGTAAAATAGACAATAGTGGAAATTATTAATTAATAATACAAAAGAAATAATAACTTCAAAAAAAGTCATTTAACATTTTAATTAATATTTTAAAGTTGCTGTTTGCAAACAGTAAAATTATCTTCGAGTGCAAAGGGTTAAAAATTTGAAATTGACTGCCTCGAATGTTTGAAAGTTCAGAATTGACTACTTGGAGCGTACAGAAATTCATGTATTTAAAAACGAAGAACTTTCAATTGTTAATCACATAAAAGTAACATCTGCAATTGTAAATATTTGCAAACGAAAAGAGTATAATTTCTAATCGATGAATATCATAAAGAAGGTATCAGCGTAGGTAGATTTTCGCGACGTCCACAGCAGATTTATCAGAATTTCTCCGGTAAGCGAGAAACTTACCGCTATTAGCCTCGATCGAACGATATCTCGACATCTTTGTAGGTTACTAAGTACTTATTAAATCGCGGCAGCACGCCAACGCTTGACAGCCTACTTTCCTAAATCTCCGGCTGGGATTACGTCGATATCGCGGACGACACGCTCGTTTCACGCTGGATACACGTTTTCACGCGAAAATCACCAGCCTCGAAATATTTGAATAATGCCTTGAACTCGAGATTCGAGTAACAGGTTGAGACTCGGACGACGGAGGAATGAATAATCGACATCGCGAAGTTCTAGGACAAGCCTCGACCGAACCATAAATCCTTTCGAACCGTTCATTCGCTGCTTGGCTCAACTTTTCTAATCCACGATTCCCGCCAACTTTTCGAACTGCGCGCATGACTCTGCGGCGACGAACTTTGCTGTCCGAGATTAATTACAACTTCAGATTGAACAGGAGCGAACCAAGTTCGCGTTAACGAGCTTACGACAATTTAAATACTTTATTACCTCGCTGAAAGCGCTCGATGGAAAATGGAGAAACTTGAGGCGCTTACTGGGACAGGGTCACTGGAACGTTTAATCGAGGAATTTCTGCTACTTTCAATTTTGAGCTAGTTTCACTGCTATTTTTTATTTTTTAAGTTTATATTCTTTTAGATCGAAATGCTAGTAATCGAGGTTTTAAATTAATTTTGAGGAAATTTGAGTGTTTCGATATTTCGAATTTGGAAATTTTTTACAAAAATTTCAAAGATGCAACTTTGAACATGCATAAATTTTTCCATTTTTATTTTGAGTACCGGGATGTTTAAGTCGAGCCTCATGAATCTGGCTCAATGTTATATTTATTAGAAAATATGGCCTGAAAGTATGAACATGAAAATGTGAAAATATTAACTATTAGACAAAATGAACCATTGATACAAAATTTGTAAAAGTACGTAAAAAATATAAGTTTCGAGCGAACCGCGAGTTGCACGCAGCCGAAAACGCGATCGAATAAATCGATAATCGATGGAGCGTACTAATCCAAGTCGGGAAGGTAAATTTATTTGTCCCTGTCGGCATTGGAGCGGTTTTTAGCCAGCGCCCAAGAGAATAACATCGTTAACTAGGCTCATAAATAGCAAAGTCTGGTGACGAACGAACGATGGTTTTGGAGAGCGCGAGGTGGCATTGTTTTATCGATCGTTGACCCGATTCACCAACTTCCCGCAGGACAAGAGGATCACCGTGGTGGATGCACTGGCGCATCCTTATCTCGACGAAGGAAGACTCAGATATCACTCGTGCATGTGCACGTGCTGCTACACCACCAGCGGAGGAATGAGACAGTACACGGGAGACTTCGAGCCGGCCACTTCTCACCCCTTCGATGATCTGTGGGAACGGAAGCTCACCACCGTGCAGCAGGTTAAAGGTAAGAAAATTTAATTTACACTACCGTCCATAAGTATCCGGACACTTGGTTTCGTTACATAAAACATAGTTGAACTTTGTACGAAAGGTATTTAGGGTTATCATATCATTTGTAATAATTATTATTATCTTTTTTGAGGTGTCATAACGTAATAGAATTAATTTTTAAGTACAAATTATACAATGAAAGTGTGAAAGTAAAATTCATGTCCAGAAGTACAAAGTCCAAATTTGTGAATCTAATGAAACGCTTTCGATTCTAAAAAAAATTTTAATTTCTACTGCGTTTCATTTCTATGGTGCAGAACGTATTCAGAGGGTTCTTCGATATGTTTCAAGTGTTTGTAAACTGTTGGTAGATGTTTAGGTTCCCTCAATGGAGATAAGAATGGAGGTAACTCTACGCACTCGACAGTTTCGGTTTAGTTTGTCTGTAGCTTCTTTTCCATCGAGATACTAGTTCCAAACGAGAATTATCAATCGAAAAACGTTCCAGTATTCTGACTTTCGCAGAAAAAAATCGATTTTAGTTACTGTTGCAGATACTTGAATAACTTTCATGCAACGCGAATGCATATTTCACTTGTGTCCGGATACTTATGGACGGTAGTATATGTGATATGAAATTATTTTAGGAGATTATTTGTTTAAGCTGTGAATTATTTTTATTTTAGAAATTTTCAGTGTTATGATAGTTGAAATTTTGAGACAATTAGTGGCGGGAAATTTAAATTGGAAGTTTGCGTATTCAGACTTTTCAAGTTTGGAACTTTGAGTATTTTAACGTGTGAAATTTGGAACTTTGTGCGTTCGAAAATTTTCAACTTGATAATTTGAGTGTTTGAATATTTGAATTCGAAAATATAAAAATTTGATAATTTCAAATTTGGTATTGTGAGTTCCTAAAAATTTAAAAATTGAATTTTTGAGTAGCGTATACTTAGAATTTTTAATTTTAAATATCTGCAAATGTACAATCTATTCACCAGAATATTTGAAAATTTGTAAATTTGTGAATTTGAAAATTTGAAGTATTGAAAAATTGAGATCTCGATAATTTACAACCACGCAAATATTACCCCCATTCTCGCTTATAAAACTTTGATCATGTATTCGTGATTCAATAAGATCGAACATGCAACCTTGACTCGGCGAGTTATCATTGGAGGCAGCAGTAGAATTGTCAGCGAAAGGGTTTCCCAACGTGGAACGATTAACGTTTCAACTAGAAAGAAAAATGCATTGCTGTGACTCACACGTGCGATATTAATAGCAACGTCTTGGACACGTGGCCAGCTACTTCGATAGCGACAATGATGCGATAGAGTCGCGTGCGTTTCATACAGGAGACTGTGTACGAACGGTGATAAATCATCGTTTATCACCATTACAGCCAGGGAACCGTGAAGTTATCGGTACGACTTTCCACCCTTGTTAATCGCCACGAAACTGGCTTTAATATCGTCTTCAAAGATTGCACGCTATTCGTTCGTTAGGGGAGGGTGGCGCCTGCTATTGCTAATTACTTTTCTTTTGTGGTGGAGAAAAAATTTCCGATATTTTTCACTTTCTTGTGGTAATTAGTGAATGTTGCGAAACATGGGGATATGTGTTCACTATTCAGAATTTTTTTTTTAAGATATTTTATTATTGTACTCTTCACAATTTCACCCCTTCGACTATTCTACTATTTTATTATTTACAATTTAACTCTCACACTATTTGATTATTCCGCTATTCAGAATTCTGTTCCTTCACTATTCCATTATTCACAATTTCACTCCTTCTACTATTTAGCTATTCTACTGTTCATAATTTCGCTTTTCTTGCATTCCAGTATTTTACTATTCACAATTCTACCCTTCTACCATTCAGCTATTCTACTGTTCATAATTTTGCCTTCCTTGTATTTTAATATTTTACTGTTCTCTATTTCACTCATCTATAGTCTATTCTACCATTTTAGAATTGTACTCTTCAGTATCTATTCTCAGTGTCGATTATCTAAAGAATCAAAGTGGTATAATAACGCAGAAATAAGCAGTCGAAGGTTGCGAACATTTCTGTGGCAGCGACTTTGTCATACGACAAGCATGCGATGTTCGTAACGAGTAATCACATTTCTCGCGAGCACAGCTTAGGTTAGAATAGTTGCACGTGTCCAAGAAAGGTGTCGCAACACACGAATCGTACGTTGGAGAACAAAGAAGTCTCCACTCTCGAGATTACCTTCTGGGAATTTTATGCAATTCTCCGTCAGAAAGGGACTACTTTCCACGGAAACTGCAAATATGCCACGTATACCAAACATAGTGAAATATGGTGGTTATCGTATATCAAATATTCCATGTCGTCGAACTAGGTAACTCGAACAGGATGGAGATTCAAATTCATTCTTAATTCGCTATAAATTCACGGTTAAAGAAGTAACAAAAATTCAACCTTTTAAAAAAATATCAATGTGAAGTTACATAAATAATTTTAAAAAAATGAAGTTAATAAACTACTAAGTCACATGAAGTTAAAAGACATCATCTTATATGAAGTTAATAAATTTTCAAAAAATATGAACTGAAAAAAAGTAATAAAACCTGTGAAGTTTATAGAGTATTAAGAAAATGAGGTTACAAGAATATGAAAACATGAGAAGTTAAAAAATGATAAACCATATGCAGATAAATAAAACATTACACGACAGAAAAATCATAAACTGTTATATTATATGAAGACCAAAAACACCAAGTTAAAATATCAAGTATGTTCAAATAGTTTCAAAAAATTCGCACGTTAACATTCTCATCTTATTGGATCACGAATACAAGTAAAAAGAGACCTCTCAAACCGACCAGCTCTAATTTTTTGCATACAATTCATAACGTGTACATGTCCATCATCCCCTTCGATTCCCCACGAGATCACCGTCTCGCTGATCATTGTCCCCGGAACAAAGTGCACGAGAGAAGAAGTTCTCAGCGAAGAATCCCACGTTGTTTGTTTCAGAGGAAATGCACAAATTTATAGCGGAACAGCTGAACACGTCGCGGGTGCCGCTCTGCATAAATCCGCAGTCCGCGGCGTTCAAGAGCTTCGCAAGGTAAGCCGTAGGTGGCGGATCATCCAGGTTAATAGATCGATTATCGGAATAACCTCTAGAGTTTAATCTAGAAAGAGAGAGTGTGTGTGAGAAAGGCCTAGTCTCCTTTAAGCGGGTGCACCACCCTCAGACGTCGAACTTTGAGTCTCGCAGTTTTCCGAGTGAACTACTCTGCGAGAAACCAATGCGTAATACTTTACGCAAATAAAGACGTGATTACGTAAATAAATATGAAAATCTGTTAGGGAACGACGAAATTACTCGCTAATTTCTTGTGGCGAAAAATTGTGTAAAGAAGGTTCGTGTTCTGTGAAGAACATTTCCTCTGAAGAACAAAATTTGACCGATGGAGAATATGTAGCTGTAAGGCGTCTTGTGGTGGTGTAGTTGGGTTAGATATAGCGCGGTCGTGAAGCTGTTCAACGAAATTCGGTTGTAGTCTGAGACACAAAGTGGTATCGGAAAGAATCCGATAATGAGACATAGGTTTTGATTTACGACCTCGCTATGTCTCGGAACTGTGCCCTCTAAATCGAGGTCTCCGCGAACTTCCCTGACGCCCAAATGTCGCATAGTCCCGTTCCCGACTTCGATCTCCCAAGAAGGCAAATTTTGGAAGGGAGAGTGTGGCTGTGCGTGCAAAAGAGAGAGAAAGGGTTCGCAGAGGGGCACACAGTGTATTTCTTTAATTTTTCTCGTTGAAGTCGAATCGGAAGCGGCAAGAAGAAGCCGGATTAAAAATGAACGGCGGAAAAAGGAAGAACGAAGAAGGGAGGGCGGGAGAGAGACGGGAGTGAAAATAGAAGGGTGAAACGGGCCGAGCGTATCGTGGACGGAAATTAAAAAACCGTGGAGAACGGTAGAGAAAACGAAACGATCGAAAGCCAGCCAGGAGAAAAACGATCTTTTGTCCTGACAGACTCACCCCTCTGACGTTCTTTTGCTGTTTGCCTCGAGAACGAACCGAAAACTCTGCTCACTTCCGGCGGTTCCACGGGACGAACGATTAAGAATTAACCCCCCCTGTCGAGGGTTGCTTCGAGAGATACACGCGCAATCCTGTCGCGACGATAGTATCGATGCGAGAACGATCGAGCACACGGTAGACGTTTTTTTTCGCATTTTCCAGCGCGAGATCTCTCGACTCGTGGAAAGACCGGAAATAGATGGTCGAGGTTCTTGAAATTGAGAGGGTGAGTGAGAGAGAGACCGTGAGATGATCGAAAGCTGATTCGAGATGGGGATGGTTTTGGAGAATTACCATACGGTTGTGACTTCCTTTAGAGACCCCTAGAGCAGGCTCGGGCATCAGGGCAATCTATCGCTATGTTGCGATCCAAAAGAATTAATGGACTGGTATGTGTCATAAGGGGTTCATTTCACATTTTTATTTCGGATTTGTGGAAATCTGGAAGACGTATTGTGAAACTTTTAACTCGGAGTGTTTTTGAATTTGAAATCTGGGGTTTGAAGATTTGGGGGGTTGATTATTTAAAAATGTTAAATATGGGTTTGTGGATATGTAAGAATTTGAACTTTGACAATATGACTACTTGAAGATTGCAACATTTCATTTCTGAGAATTCAAAATTGAGAACTTAAAAATTTGAGTACTCGATAACATTAAAATCTCGACTTGAGGATCTAAAATTTCAATACTCAACATTTGACTATCAGGGAATCTGAAATTTGCTTCGTGGAATATTTAAAAATCTACAGTCACAGTAATGAATCTTCAAAAAAGTAAAATACAAAGTGTTTGATATTGAAAAATTCGTGAAAGTACCAGAGTAAAATTTGCCACGAAGACAATAGCGAAATGATAGCGTACGATCGTAATTCGATTGGATCGTAAGTTAGAGATATTGCCCCGATCCTAAGCTTTAGAGAGAGCGAAAGAGCGAGAGAGAAGAAAGCTAAAGTCATCGATAAATTGATATGTTATTTGGTAATAATATATATGTGATATTGTTGAAATCTATATAACATTTGTCGTGTTGCTTATTGCCGTCAAGTTAGAGCAAGCCGATCGCCGACCCAGCGCCCTACGCCGCGTATACGTACACGTTACTACTACCACTACCAGTACTACCGAATCAGCTATCTACCACTGTCAGCTACTATCGACTACTACCGCTATCGTCTACCACTACTACTACTACCACTACTACTACCACTACTACTACTACTACTACTACCACCAATCGTGTTACGTCTCCTCCTGAACGAACCGAACGAACAGAGAGTCAGCTCTAGTCGACGCGACCTCGCTTGCAGAGGTACTTGAACAAACCATTTTACCAACAATTTTTTACGTTTTGTGTTCCTTACATCGTATTTCTTCGCCTTCTCCGTCTTTATTTTATCATTCTATTATTTTTTATTATTACCGTTAGTTTCTCTGTATACTTTTTTCTGTTTATCGTTACCTAACTTTGATCATGTTTATTAACTGTCTACGTCGTTATTGTTACCGCCTTGCTTCTTACGATTATTTAGACTGTATGACTGACACCATGTATATATATTTATATATGCATATATATGTACCTATATATATGTATGCATATACACGTACACACGATCGTGACGTTAGTTTGATATATATTTTTTTTACTGTGTGTACCGTGTATATGTGTGTGTGCGTTAGATCACGGTGACTTGCGTCGCCGGATGCATACCAGCGACCAGTTCGCTCGATCGACTTCCGATCGGCACTGACACCGTTCAGAAAGACTTCCCCGATGGGAAAACCTTGCAATCGTAAATCTACGATAATCGAGTTTATTCTATCGATCGCGTAATCGCTGCCCTCTTCAATTTTTCACGAGTCTGCAAATTTTTCGGGTCACAGATGTTACGTCACACTTGCGGGAAAATGAAAACCGAAATAGGCGATAAGGAAACAGTATCTTTTATAGCTGTTTCGTAAAGCATCAACGTTATGAACATAGATGAACGTAGCTTTATTTTGAACATTATTTATGATCATCAGAAGAGATATTCATGATCATCATCTCTTTTGACATTTTGAGTGTGAATGTATATAGGGGATCATTTTTGACATTGACTAAAAATGTTCGTGAATATTGTATCATTTTTAACGTTGACTAAAAATGTTCATGAATATTGTATCATTTTTAACATTGACTAAAAATGTTCATGAATAATGTATCATTCTTATCATTGACTAAAAATGTTCTTCAATATAGTACCATTTTTAACGTTGATTAAAAATGTTCATGAATATAGTATCACTTTTAACATCATGGTAATTGATGAATATATTATGAACATTATAAGTGTTTATAAGTAGAGGATCATTTTTAACATCAAGTAAAAATGTTCATGAATATAGTATCATTTTTAATAATCATGATAGTTGAATGTATCATTATGAACATTATGAGTGTTCATAAGTAGAGGATCATTTTTAACATCAAGTAAAAATGTTCATGAATATAGTATCATTTTTAATAATCATGATAGTTGAATGTATCATTATGAACATTATGAGTGTTCATAAGTAGAGGATCATTTTTAACATCAAGTAAAAATGTTGATGAATATAGTATCATTTTTTATAAACATGTTAGTTGAATGTATCATTATGAATGTATCATTATAAGTGTTTATAAGCAGAGGATCAATTTCAACATCAGTTAAAAATGTTAATGACTATAGTATCAATTTTTACAATCATAGTAGTTGAATGTATAATTATGAACATTATGAATGTTCATAAGCAGAGGATCATTTTCAACATCACTTAAAAATGTTGATTAATATAATATCATTTTTAAGATCGATTAAAAGTGTCGACGAATATGGTACCATTTTTAACATTACATATGTGAATGAATGTGGACTTTTAACATCATGAAACTTAATAAACATAACATTTCGAACAACGGTTATTAACGAATAGTATCATTTTGACCATTACGAGCGATAATGAATATCACGTTCAACATGAAGTAATAAATAGCTCCGTTTGATCGAATTGAAAATTGCGCTGCACAAAAGGCTTGCAGGTTTCGAAAATACGATTGTTAATAACACGAAAGTCCCACGCGAATATTTTCCCGATATTTATTCGAGTAAGAATAAATGGAAGTCGAATGCAGAGATCGAAAATGATCAAAGACTGGTCGCTGGTGCGTTTACGTTCGTGAATCATTGTGAAAGTGGTACTTGTAAATAACGCTTGAAACGAGCGCTTTATCGGACGCAAGGAGTGTAAGAAGGCCTGATCAACCATGCAGCCTTCAGTTGAAAGATTTCGCGAACAATCGCGATTTAATCGATAATCGAGGAAAAAGTCTCGAGAGAATATAGCCCGGGGAACGCGTGGTGTAAGTTGAATTCAGAGAATCGAGATAACCCCTTGAATCTGGGTGAATATGACCCGTTGGCACAATGACCGTAATCCAAAGACGGAATTCTTCCGATTTTTCTTTTCCGTTGCAGTTATGTCCGGTCATCGAGAAAAATCGATCAAGCGAGTGCAATTCACGCAAACACGGACCGGTCTTTCCTTTCCGATCGGTCTCTGCTGCCACGAAGAGATTTTTGCTTTTTCATTATTTTTACGCTTCTTTTATTTTCTGTTGTTGTTTTTTTTTTGTCTCTTTTGTTTGTTTGTTTCAATTTTTGGTTCACTCTCTTCTGCGAAGGTCGTGTTACGGTGTACAATGGTAGACGATATCGCGAGGCTGAAGAGGCATTTTTTTCGGACTCTTTTTTCGGTCGAACGGCACTATAGCGCGATTACTGTCATTTCGCCAAATTTGGGACGCGTTTCGATGGGAATTTGCTTTGCCAATAGAAAGTTAACCGACGTTGCGAGCACTGACGTAATTGGGACTTTTCATTTCGGCAACTGGGGAGATTTATTGACTTTGGAATTTCACATTTAACATCTTTGAAATGGAAGAAATTTGGAGAAGTTTCAAATTTCGACAAATTTGAGAATTTTAGAAAATTTCGTAATTTACGAAAATTGAGATTTTCAGAAATTATTTAATTGACAAAATGGTTGCGAGCACTGACGTAATTGGGACTTTTCATTTCGGCAACTGGGGAGATTTATTGACTTTGGAATTTCACATTTAACATCTTCGAAATGGAAGAAATTTGGAGAAGTTTCAAATTTCTACAAATTTGAGAATTTTGGAAAATTTCGTAATTTGTGATTTTCAGAAATTAGACAATTGATCATATGTTAAATTAGCAAATTGAATAATTTAGAAATTAGAAAGTTACGAAATTTTAAGAATTAAAAAATTTCCAAGTTTCTTCCACATTTCGTTGGTCCAACCTCCGTCCTTGCTTGCGTCAACGTCCGTGAATACACGCCCGTTAATAATTTCTGTCCGCATCTTTTCCTCGAAATTTGTAAAAAGACCGGGGCTAACGACGTCGTTCCCGCCGTGTACACCGAAGCGTCGCGACGCCCGTTCTCGCGACATTGCTTTTTTCAAAGTCCAGGAATAACTTCGGTGAAATAGGGGTGGGTGGCCGCGAAAGAAGATAGTCCTTTTTCAACCGTGCTTTGTTTCCGTGCTATTTCCGAGGAATTTGGCAAAGCAAAGACCGTGCACAGTTGAAATAGAAACTGTTTCGCGCGTGGGATTCGTGGTGCGAAGAAGAAAACAGTCGTCCCTTGTGTGGGAGTCAAATTGTGGTGCAAATTTCGTGGTGCACTTTCCAGCAACGTTCGTGAATCAGACTGTAAGAATTTTTCTTGCTGCTACTTTTGGGATATGCTGACAGTAACATTTGTTTGAGAAGCTGTTGTAAGTTAACTGGGTGTAACGTGATTAAGATACTATCAGTTTTATGGTTGATAAAGACTTAAGCACTTAGTGGACCGAAATTAGGAGAAGTTTAAGGAGGATCTGGATAATTAGTAAAATTACTGGATCAATTAGGAAGAGCCTAAGGAGGACCAAAAGTAATCTACAGTGATTTGAGAAGAGCCTAAGGAAGCCTGGGATCTTAGAATGGTCTTAAAGAGATCTTAGTAAACAGCCTGAGGAACTTTGGGTAATCTTGGAATGATCCTGATGAAATCGTAGGATGAACCTAAAAGGGCTGTAGAAGTCGTAGAATGATCCTAATGAAATCGTAAGGAAAATTTAAAAGAAATGTAGGGAAGTCCTAGAATGATCATTGAGAGATCCTAAGAAGAATCTAACAGAAACCTAGAGAGGTCCGAATGATCATAAAGAGATCCTAGGAAGAATAAAGACAATTGAGGCAGACTCTAAAATCCTAAGGAGATCCTAGGAAGAACTCAAACAGAATCCAGGGAAATCCTAGAATGAAACTAAGGAGACCCCAGGTGGAAACCTAAAGAGAATTCAAGGAGATCCTACAATGAAACTAAGGAGATCTTAGGAAGATGTTTAGACCTAGCTGAGTCAATTAGAACCTGTGAAGAGTTTAACAGATCCTAGGAGGATCCTGAAAAGAACCTTGAGAGAAGTAGCCTCTGACTTAGACACTTATGTCCTGAATCTACATCCACATATTTAATTTGCATGTGTCCCTACAATAAAGCCCTAAATATGTACCGCAATACCCCAAAAATAACATAAACATCACAAGAAGAATTTTTAACATTACGAGTGTGAATGAATAGTATCTAACTCAGCCGCTATCCCAAACATAATTAAATCTAACCCCAAAAGTAACAGCAAGATAAACTCTGAAATTCGCACAGAATTACCCCACAGGCTTCATTAAAGAAAGAAAAATGAAGCAGAACGAAGTAAATCTCGATCGAAACGGCGAACGAAAATGAAAAGAGGAGTAAAGAGAAGAAAATGAATGGAAAAGAACGCGTGTGCGGAATGGCGATTAAACGGCCGGCTGTCACACATGCTGACAGCTGCATGGAAATCAGACGAAGCATTTTTTTGGTTGTTTTTTTGTTAAGCTCCAGACCTGTCGGTCGCATCCCTCTTCCGTTATCTTCCCGGCAAACGTAGAATTTGAAGAGTCGAGGTTCTCGCGTGTACCTTGTCTCGATTGTTTCGATATTGTTCGCTCGAGATTGATTCGAGCGCGACAAATTCGCGACTCTTCGAATCGATCGTCACGAGAACGCAGAGCGTTTCCTCGCTCCGAGAATTGCCGACACTTTTTTCGAAGCTAGTCCGAATAGAACGATTCATTTTCATTCTGCGATTTGCTCGAGCTTGTATTTCACTCAGCCTGGGTTAGTTACGTTCACACGATAGATTGAACGTGTAGAAGTATGCAGATACAATCGGGGCCGTATGTGCATTTATAGTCTTATCGAACACGTAGTGTACGATGGATGATCTAATTATTTTCTGCAAATTTGCTGTAATGTCGACCTTTTTCTTGTTCAAAGAAAATATAAAACTTCACTAGCATGACCCATATGAATTTTTTATATTTACATTACCTTTTGAGAAATGTCTTCTTTAGTGGAACTGTATACCTTCACTGTATACTTTTTCATTTTATATGATATTAAGATGAATTCGTTTGAAAGTCAAGACAAATGCATTCATTTATATGACTGTGATCTGCAGAACTTAGCAAAGAAATTAAACATATTAGACAGTATACTTCTTTCATCGACCATGTAAAAATTAATATTTCAGTAAACTAATTTACTGATGCATAAACACATCATGGCTTGAGAATAGTTGATTCAGATTAACACATTAAATTGCAGTTAAATGATTCCATATAAGACGGACTATAACTATACTTATCCAAGCTACATATGATCATATCTTACTGATCATATCAAGCTACGTATGATCCTAATCATATCAGTAACACACTATTAGTAACTAAAGTTTGAAATAAAATTTCTGTTCCCTCAAAATTAACATATTACCACATTGAATATAATATAGAGTTAAAAATAGTGATCTGAAGATAATTGATCATCCAGCGTACTTTCAATAGTACAGCCTTAATCCCATTGCCAACGAAAGAGAAGTTCGCGTCCCATTTCTTTTCCCATCCGTTCCTATTGCGAATGTTATCATACGAATGTTTGCTTTCATTCACACCACATTCATATCACTCCATGTTTAAATTGCCTTCCTCTCACTGATCGTATTCGAAATTTTCGAGACGCACTGCTGCCACTCGTTGACGATGCTGCCCTGTAACAACTGCCATTTAATAATCCCCATAATGTTTAGTCGACGAAACTCCAAGTGCCATTCAAACGAATACTTTCAGCAATATTGATCGAACGGAACAGTCTTTTCTTTTGCCTTTTTTTATTATCGAGGACGTTGGCGTAACTAGGACTTTTGCTGAGGAATCGGGTCAGAAATATTGGGTCTACTAGGTGGTAGGTGTTGAAGGTATTTTTGGGTATTTGGGATTTTAGAAAGGTGGAGAATTGGGAAATGGGGGTTGTGAAATTGGAAATTTGGGAATGGGGGATTTAGGAGTTGGGGAGTTTGGGAATTGAGGACTTTGAGATTTGGGGATTCAGGAATTACGGATTTTGGGAATTGGAAATGTGGGAACTGGGGATTTGGGAATTGGGGCTTTGGGAATTGGAAGTGTGGGAACTGGGGATTTGGTAATTGGGGATTTGGGGATTTGGGAATTGGGGAATTTGGGAATTTGGAGATTTGGGAATTTGGGAATTGGGGATTTGGGAATTGGGGATTTAGGAATTGGAGATTTTGGGAATTGGAAATGTGGAAACTGGGGATTATGGAATTGGAGATTTGGGTATTAGGGATTTAGGAGTCGGGAGATTTGAGAATTGGGGAATTTGGGAATTGGAAATGTGGGAACTGGAGATTTGGGAATTGGAGATTTGGGAATTGGGGATTTAGGAATTGGGGATTTTGGAAATTGGAAATGTGGGAACTGGGTATTTGGGAACTGGGTATTTGGGAACTGGGTATTTGGGAATTGGGGATTTGGGAATTGGGGATTTGGGAATTTGGGAATTGGGAATTTGGGAATTGGAAATGTGGAAACTGGGGATTTAGGAATTAGAGAATTAGGAGTAGGAGACCTGAGAATTCAGGGTTTAGATCTTAGGAATTTCATAATTGAAGACTTAGGAATTAGAGATTTGAGAATCAGAAATTTTAAAACTAACAAAACAAAAATTCAAAAATTAACGATTTGAGTATTTTAGAACATAAAAATATAAAATTTGAAAAATTAAAAATAAGATTGTACCTAGTTACGCCATTGTTCACGAAGCACTTTGCACTTTCGTCGTGTACATTTCGTCTCTCGCATTGAATTCAAATCTCTGCATCCTCTTGTCGTCGAGCCAACGATCCAGCAGTCGAATAAATTGAGCAGAAGATACGTTTCTGTCGCGAAGAAAAGATACGAATGAAAGATCGTTGGCTGGACGAAGTTCGACCGAGGGGCTTGGTAAGAAGAATCGTTCGAAAATACTCGCGAGGATGAATCACATGATTTGACCGGAAATACTGATGTCTGTTGCAGAAATGTTACCAAGTCCCCGGTCCGGTGTTCGTACGGAACACGGCACACCGGAGATTTGAAAGTAGCTACTACTTCTACTACTACTACTACTACTACTACTACACCTCTGTTTCTCCCGCAAGTGAACGAAGTTGTTACGAGCCGGGTAACGAGCAAACGAAAACGGAACCGAACCGAACCGAACGAAACACAGACCCGTTTCTATCTTCTAAATGGCAACCACTAATGATCTGTTCGTACGACTTGCAGCTCCACGGTGGCTCATCCCTCGGAACTGCCACCCTCCCCTCACCAATGGGAATGAAAAAAGTATGAATTAGAATACCTTCTCGAAGAACGCGAGAACAACGCACGAAGGACGACGAGATTGTTCGCTACACGCGAAGACAACTCGCGAACGGATACCGCGACAGCCTGAAGAGCGAGCAAGAGAGACCAGAGTATATATTAAATGTACAGACGGAAGAGAAAGGGAGAGAGAGAAACGAACACGAAAACCGGAAGACGAGCAAGCACGAGGATGGAAGGTACTCGCGGAGAAGAGCCAAGAGAGACAATAGACTGCCGAAGCAAATTGAAGCCTCAATTTTCGACTAGCCGATATATATATACATAGACCGTATATGTATATAGATATCTATATAAATATAGATTATATACATACACTTGCTGTAAACGAGAGCGAATGCGCACCAAGAAGAGAAACACCCATCCGATAAAAGAGAAATGGACGAAGAACGGGTGACGAGTAGAACCGTATCGGTTTCGAGGGATACGAGCTTTCATGAAGCCGAGAACACGACGAACATGAAGAAGACGAGGAGCCAGAGGAGATTACGTGTACGCGTTAGCTTGTAAGCGAGGGTCGATTAGACGGGCCAGTCTTCTTTGTATTTTTCTTTTCGTTTCCTTTTAGATTTTACACGATCTATCTGTATATGTGTACACACACGCGCACGCGCGCGCGAATACTCTCTTTGCCGCACCGTTTCTAATCGAATTTCCCGCCAAACGGAACAATCGCGGCCAGATTCGACGATCCTTTCCTCGTCCTCTCTTTACCCTTGCTTTTTTCTTCGATCGACCACGATTTAAGCGTACTCGAAACCGTTCAAACGTCTCTGTGGACTTATCTAACGCTTTGTGTACACTCGGCTATAACGTTTCCTTTGGTTAATAATCGGTATAGGGTGAAGTCGCTCTACGAACTAATGCGCAGTCATTGATTATACGTGATAATTATGCGCAGTAAAGTTATTACGATTTATAATAGCGTACTCGTTGTGTGCACGTTTACTGCGCATATTTATTATTTCTACTTATCGACTGCGCATGGTTATTATTTTCCGTTATCGACTGCGCTTGTATTTCGCGGTGAAGGACACAGTCAAGGTCGTTCTGAAATTTTACGCATTTTTAAGAGCGATCTTGAAACGAGCTTGTCAGTGGTCGGGTTTTAGCGAATGTCGTTTTAGAGTATTAAATACGTAATTTATGTTGACATTATTTGCAGTTGCAGCTTGGTCATGCTATTATATCAATTTTATAGTATAATAAATGTCACGGGATGAATTCGTACGTGCGAGCAGAAGTGTAGAATAAACTTTGTTCTCTAGAGTATTTTCAAGAATTTCATACATAACTGATTATTGAAATTTGTGTACTGTTCGTACATTAATGTACAAAAATTTAGCTGGAAGACTAATTTGCATGTAGAGCTTAGGTGAAATAATAATCCACACTTCAATTTATCCTGGTACATGTACCTTAAAATTGATATAAAAAATTGAGTAAATTGTGACTGTGAGTGAGTAAAATATACATTACGAGTTTAATATTGTATCTATCAAACACCGTCTTTATTATAATCAAAACATTAGTTATGATAAAGTGATGTACATCGAACAAATTGTATACCCGAAGACAAGCTGAACGGAAGGTTAAGTAGAATAGTGAATATAACTGTTACCACCCTCTCTAAAAGAAGTTGATGTTATAACCAAGTGTACCAAGTGTAATTTTTGTAACCTTAACAGAAAATCTAAGGTTGAACCGATTAGAGTTTGAACTTATGGGATGTGTCTCGTAAGCGGTGTGCTCTTCTGTGATCGGAGAAGATACGTGTAAAAGAAGAACAGTGAATGTTCGGATCTCGAAGAACACTCAGAATGTTTCTTTCACGGAAGATGTCTTCGGTCGTGCTAAATCGTTTGAAGAACTGTAACACGACTTAATTGTAAGAATTAAAGAGAAAAGCAATCGGTAAAGAAACGAGAAGAATCGCGAGTTAGAGAATGGTGAGCGTTTATTTTTTATTTATCGAACAGGGCTTGAGCCTGTGTGATCTCGATCGTTATCGACGGAGGAAGTCGTTCAGGGGGCCTCGAAGCAACGTTCCGGGCAAAAAACACCCCAAGTTCTCTGACCCAGGGAAATCTTCGGACCGAAGATTCTAGGAATCGCGCGGATTTCTAGGTACACGATAGATCACACGATTTATTCCAATAAATATTTGCACTGCCGACGAATCGTGGCGAGCGCGACGGTATCGTGAACAAGAGGAAGTTCGAGAGGATCCATCGTTCGAATCGTCCGGAGTCGTCGTCTTTTTGACGTAGATCAATAATTTTAGTTTAATTTCGAAAGCTGCGTATGTGTGTAAGCGCTTCCGTGCGAGATCTCGCTTTCATTTCACGTTTTAACGATCGAATCGGCCTCTCCGATGTCTGAAATGCGAATAACCATTTATGTCTCTGCGATAGCTGTTCCTGTCATCGCGAAAATTATCGTTTCGCAATGTATCATTTTTGGATCAGAAAAGTTAGCTCGTGTTAAATTGTCTTTCGTTCTCTATCGAGACAAAATTTTGTCGAGATGGTCTACGGATTATGGTTGCAGTTCAGACGCGTCTCGAGGTCGAGGAAATGGCGCACGATACCCGTAATTACGTTCTGAGTGTGATTTTAGTTTAAGAGACTTTAGGTAGCCAGTAGATTTTCACGAGGAAATACCGTAGGAGCGTAGGTAGCGATTTAAGTAACGTAGCAACTCGACGACGCTCGTTTCGTTCTGTAAAGAACAACAAAATGGATAAGCAACGCATGTGTTCTCTTTTTTACGCAGACTCAACTGATTTCTACTACGATCTAATTAACACGTATCACACGAACACACGCATACACACATGTATATGTAATCGTTTTAAGTACTTGTAGGGAAATTTTGAGTATCGGGATGAAAGGGGAACGATACCTTCGCGACCAGCGACACGAAAAGACGCACTTTTCAAACGATCGATCGTGATCGCCGTTTTTATCGACATAGACGGTGTTAATCGAACACGCGGAAAAATATTGTCGATACGAATTGTCCTTTCGCGTGTGCAGCACACGATTTTGCTCTCTGCATTGGGATTTTTGCGAGTCGACTGCTGTAGGGGATGTTGGTTACACGAGTTTTCGAGGTTTGAACTTTTTTCAGTTTTTCCTAATACAAATTTACATATTTACATGTTTCTGGTTAAATTCCAGTTGCTGATTCTTATATTTTAAAATTTTCAAGTGCTCCAATTCCTACATGAATTTCTAAATTTTCTGATTCTTCGTCTGCAGATTTTTCAGTCCACAAATTTACAAATTTACAAATGCTCAAATTCACAAATTCCCGAATTCCCAGTCTCTCAAGTCCTAACTCTAAATTTTCAGATATTTTAACCCTTAATTACAGTAGAACCTCGATATTTTCCTGCGCCAGGGGCTGCGCAGGTACAAAGATTAGAAATACATAATTTTACACGACTTTTGCGTGTCATCGTTTAATTCTAAAACCTAATAACCTAAGAACTGTTAATTTTATCGAGAGACCACGACCTCTACAGCATTCGACGTCTACGCGATTGCGATAAAAATTACGTCGGTGTTTAACGAAGCGCGTGTTGTAATTTTTCGCTGAACGTTGAAACGTTGCGACGTGGTACAACCCTCTTTTTGTAATTAATATACGATCCGTTTCCGGTAGCGGTCCCGTCATTTGTAAATAGATCTCATCGCGTTCACCGTGTACATACGCTAAGTAGCTCATGAACTGAATCACCACCGCAATTTGCAATTGTAAAAAGGCGCAGCAGTTGAATTTCCTTGGTGTCTAACCACGAACGAAACCTTTATCGTACACCGTTGTACGAAGTTACAAAAAATTACAAATATTGTTGATGAGAACGACAAATGAAAGCTCGGCGTTGTTAGACACGACGGAAATTAAAACAAACAATTCCCCATGTACCACGAACACTTTCGACGAAACGGTTTCCCTTATCGCCGTTCGCTTTTAGAATTTTAATCAACGATTCGTCGAACATTTTTCACGTTTCCTTTTAACATTGAATTTTTATGATAATTTTTAACGATACCCGCGCGGACGTAAAAGGTGTTTTATCGTAGATTCGTTTTTACGTCTCGAACTCTTTTATCATTTCCCCGAAAGTTGTTCGCGAATCTTATCGGTTAATTGATTAAAAAACGAGGAGAGAAAGGAAGGAGGTACTTGTCTGTTTACAACTCGAGGCGATAAGTGTTGAAAGATTTTTCGTCGAAAGTTTCGCAACGATTCGATTCGCGGTTTAATTAGTTGCAGCGAATGAACGAAAACGAAGAGAAAGAAAAATTGAAGATAAGTGATTGGCTGCGTGTAGCTTGGTTGACTTCTGTAAGAAAGCGATTCGGGAGAAGGGGACTTTCATCTGCTGCAGTTTTATTTTTCTACGATCGAGTTTAATTTTGTAATCGCTTTCGAATTTTTCAGCATCTCTTGTTTGACGCTGTAGGATTCAGTTTCGCGTTGTTTGACGCTGTAGAATTTAGTATCGCTTTTAAATCTTTTAAATTTATTATTCGACGCTTTATGCTTTTTGACGTTTTCAAATTTTACATTATGTTATTCGACGCTTTCGAATTTAAAATTACATTATTTTGATCTCATCCGATCTCTGTAAATTCAACGTTGTCTCAATTAGCTTTGAATATAAAATAAACCCAGTTTCCCCTACGTTGTCAGATACAGGAGTCAACTCGGAATGAATGAGAAGAATGCACGAGTGTTTGGAATTAATGTTTCCTATTAAACGAAAAAACAAAAAGATAATATGTAGATGATTACTTAAACGAGACTTGTAAATAACGTAGCTCACTGTAGCTGGTCAGTTGGGCATTTGAAAGATACACGAAACAAACAAATAAAAAAAAAAGCAAGTACATGAAGCAAGAGAGAAAGTAAAGGAAATACAAGAAGGGTCGATCGCCCTCTGAACCTTTACGCCTTGCGTTGTAAAATGTACACGATATTTCTTTTTTTCTTTTGTTTGTTTATCGCGTCGATCGTTTCGACATCGAGAAATAAAATACTTGGAGGCTAGGTGATAACTCGTAAGTCGTAAGGTAAACTACGTATAAATAGATAACGTGTAATTAAGCGACAAGATTTGAAACTCCACGTATACTACACACTAGCGAATATTGCCTTCATTATGGAAAAGTGGCTGGCACCGAGATGCACCAAACAAAATAAAGTTGCTACGGATAAATGAAGATTAAAAAAAAAAAAGTAAAGAAAAAAAACGATTGAAAAAACGGTGGTTCTCTTGTCTCCGATATGGCACGTCACTTATCGTCACCTTCGTAATCACTTCCTTTAACCGTTTCTTTCTTTTCTCGTTCTTTTCAGTTTCTTTTTGCTTGCTGCTGGTCGAAATGTTTCTTTCAGGTACTCGCACCGTTTTAACTTCGACATCGGACGACGTTTTGCTTACTTTCTTTTCGTTTCGGCAGGGGACAGACGTTCGCCAGTTTTGTACGGTTTTAGAAAGTTTCTACGGTTTTATTGATGTGCGCTTGTACGATTTTGTTTTAGGGGATCGTTAGAGGATGAAGGATCAGTACTTTTTCAAATTTTAGAGTTTTTTAATTATATTCAAGTTTCAACATTTTTTTATTTCTAAGTTTCGCAGTTGTCAAAATTTCTAAATTCTTGGATTTTTACTTGTTATAATTTTCAGAATGACCAAATTCAATAATTTCCCAATTTTTATTGGCCCAAATTTCGGAATTTCCAAATTCCAATTGCCCCAATTTCTAAATTCCCCAATTCCAATTGCTCCAGTTTCTAAATTCCCCAATTCTAATTCTCCCGAATTTCTAAATTCCCCACTTCCAATTCTTCCGAATTTCTAAATTCCCCAATTCCAATTCTCCCGAATTTCTAAATCCCCCAATTCTAATTCTTTCGAATTTCTAAATTCTCCAATTCCAATTCTCTCCAATTCCTAAATTCCCCAATTCCAATTCTTCCAAATTTCTAAATCCCCCAATTCCAATTCTCCCGAATTTCTAAATCCCCCAATTCTAATTCTTTCGAATTTCTAAATTCTCCAATTCCTAAATTCCCCAATTCCAATTCCACCCAATTTCTAAATTCCCCAATTCTAATTCTCCCGAATTTCTAAATCTCCCAATTCCAATTGTCCCAATTTCTAAATTCCCCATTTCCAATTGTCCCAATTTCTAAATTCCCCAATTCCAATTCTCCCAAATTTCTAAATTTACCAATTCCGCTTATTCCAAATTTGAAAATTCCGAATCTCAAAATTTTCATTTTCTTTCCCTTTCTCGTCATTCATAAAACAATATTCTTCACTCCCTTATTATTCATAAAACTACTTCTTTCCCTCCCCTCTTGTTTATAAAAATAATCCTTCATTCTTGTCCATAAAAATATTCCTTCCGTCTTGTTAGTAAAAATATTCCTTTCTCTTTCATCCTGTACATAAAAATAATTCTTCCCCTTCCTTTCTGTTCATAAAAATCCTTCCCCTTCTGTCGTTCATAAAAATCCTTCCGCTCCTATCGTTCATAAAAATATTCCTCTCCGTTATTTAAAAAGAAAGCAATCGAAGTAGTAAACAATTTAAAAAATGCTTACATCAGTAAGATATTAAAAGAGAATTAATTTTCACAATTCGAATAAAGACGAGTTTAAATAGAATTAAGAGGTAGAAAATATCGACGTTCTGTCCCCTAGGAATAAAAAATTGATTGAATTCGTTATTTGCACGCACACACGAACACAGAGAGAGAGCCAGGGGCCAAACGACGAGGCAAGAGGGACGCGATTTTCGCGTCCTTTTCGAAACGATCGAAGAAGCCAAGCACCTTTCCACCTTTCGCAATTCGAAGGTGCGACAGAAACGAGAGAAGGAACAAGAGATCTGTCGAAATTTATTCGTAATCGTAGCGTGGTCGACGACCTGTCGTTAGTAACTAAGAGGCCTTAATATATTGCGTTTACGATAAAAAAAAAACATACACACACCTAGAATAGAGAAGACACACGAGGAAAATCGATATAGTACACAGCACGATTTATCAAATGGATATCTAATTTAGGAATTCGGGATCTTACGGCGTCTTTTATTAATTGTTCATCGTACAATCGTGTAAATATGTGGGGGATTTTAAACAACTTGCGTTGCGAAATTGGAAAACGAAAAAATATTTTTATTTTTATCGAGATACTTTTTTTTACGGTTCTTACGTTAATATTTTATCTATGGACAATTCTGGTATTTTTTTGTATTAATACAGGAGAGCTATTTATTTCTTGCTTCTACTTATAGCACGTTCGAATTATAACCTAAAAGCTACAGGAAGTTTCAAAATTCTTCTAAAAGTTACAGGTACAATATTATATTGTTTGTATCATTTTACTAGAGACATTGTGTGATCTTGTCAGAGTATTAAATATATTATAGTACGTACTACTTATAACCTAAAAGTTACAGGAAGTTTCAAAATTCTTCTAAAAGTTACAGGAATAATATTATATTGTTTGTATCATTTTACAATAATCATTTTATGATCTTGTCAGAGTACTAAATATATTATAGCACGTTCGAATTATAACCTAAAGGTTACAGGAAGTTTCAAAATTCTTCTAAAAGTTACACGTACTATATTATATTGTTTGTATCATTTTACTAGAGACATTTTATGATCTTGTCAGAGTATTAAATATATTATAGCACGTACTAATTATAACCTAAAAGTTACAGGACCTTTCAAAAATCTTTTTCTAAAAATCATAAAAATAATATATCGTTTGTATCATTTTACAATAATCATTTTATGATCTTGTCAGAGTATTAAATATATTATAGTACGTACTAATTATAACCAAAAAGTTACAGGAAGTTTCAAAAATCTTTTCCTAAAAATCACAGAAATAATATATCGTTTGTGTCATTTTACAATAATCATTTTATGATCTTGTCAGAGTATTAAATATATTATAGTACGTACTAATTATAACCAAAAAGTTACAGGACTTTTCAAAAATCTTTTTCTAAAAATCATAAAAATAATACATCGTTTGTATCATTTTACAATAATCATTTTATGATCTTGTGAGAGTATTAAGTATATTATAGCACGTACTAATTATAACCAAAAAGTTACAGGAACTTTCAAAAATCTTTTTCTAAAAATCACAAAAATAATACATCGTTTGTATCATTTTACCATTTTATGATCTTGTCAGAGCACTAAGAATCATTTTATGATAGCTATACCAAATACATTACCGATTACATAATTCTTTTATTCCTAAAACAAAATAATTAGCAATCGAGACAAATTGCGAAAGTTATCGATGCATGAAACGATAAACTAATATTAGCTTATTGGGAAATAAGTAATTTCCTGCTCAGTTGCACAACGTTATTTGGTATTTTCGAAGCATGGCGAACACGATTAACGCGGCGTTAAAAATTGCAACAGAGATCGATCAAGAGAAATTAATTCCAACGCAAGAGGTTAAAACATACATTCGCTGACAAATTAATGGTCGTAAGATCCCGGAAAATCGATTTTAAACACGGTTGCCTCGTCCCGTTCTGCGTCGATCATCGAGAAAAGAATTATCGTTAAAAATTCGCTACAGCTAATAAAAACGGTACACGTACGAAAATACAGTGATCAACCGGTGTCATAATTTCGTCATCGAATGATAAATTACGATTCGTTCTTAACGCGGTAACAGGATAATTAATTGAGAATGATCAACGGCCGCAGGTGTCATGATTAATCACTATATTACGGATCGTAATTTCGCAACAATGTTGAGTGCATAATTAACGGGAAAAAGAGTAAAGGGCAGAAGATGCTTCGACGATTATTCACGGGTTAATTTAATTGCAGAGAATTGCAATCGTTAAGAAAGACGCGGAACGTGACGGGGTGAATCGTTCTTGTACAAAGATGTCAGTTTTCTTTTGTTTCGAAGAGTACGTCTCACGAATAGAACGAGAGAGGAAGGTCAATATCATTCGCACGTGCCACGTTTACAGCGTATCTCATTCTAAAAGAGGACTCTACCGATCGTAGTTCTTCCCTGGAATACAGTTCTTCGCATCAGCACTGCCAGTTTAGCATCGTTAACGCCATCGAGAAATCGCCATCCGGCTTAGTTTTCGCGTTCGATTCGAATGGACAATGGTAATGACCAATTCCTTTTTATTTTCATCCGTTTTATCGCTTTAATTGCCCTTTAAATACCTATTTTCGAGTTTTCTCTTTAATACGTTCCGTGCGATTATCGAGATCCGACGTATCATGTACTTTGAAAAAAGGTCTTTGCGATCTAAAATGTACTTGCAGAATTTTTTTCGGAGATAATTTAATGAATTTACTGTATTTAATACAATAATTATGGACTTTATTGTATTTGAGGTATGTAGAAAAATATATCTGAGGTGTATAGAAAAATTGATTACATGAAAACAAAATGGCGGCTTCGCGAGCCATCACTTAAGACTAGAACTAACCTATATTTAAACATAGGATAAAAATATCGCAATTTTTCAATATAATACATACAATTTACTGCGGAAGTACATATGTTATGTCAGAATATTGATTTCTACAAAAATGATCGTGTCTGAAATATTATTCTCAAAACAAAAATTCAATCAATGGTATAATAAGACTCTGCAGTATCTCAGTTCTTCTATTAATTACAATACATTGAACTAACTAATATCAAAATTCATGCATGGAACGTATTAATCCATTAGAAAATTACCCGAATACAAAAGTAACGTATTGCTGACCTTAAATCGAACAACGGAATTTACACGTTTTATTTCTTCAAAAGACAAACTTCATCGACGATTAAATTCGACCATCCTAGCTAAATGGCATAAATACCGAGTTTAACTATAGTTCGTCACGTGCGTATATGTATAAAAAAAGAAGAAAATGAAAAATAGCTGTGAGGGTGACCGTACGTAAGCCTGTAAATATTAGCGTGTAACCTGAAGAATTCGCGTACCTTGAAAGTAGACCGAAGCCTTTTCACGATTAGGGATAAAAGACGGTGTTGTAAGAGACCTCGATTATTTAGCGAATCGGCGGGACGAAGCAAAAGGGTAAAACAGTCGGGCAGAGAGAAGAAAGAAAAGAAAAAGAGAGCGTGTCGTTGTAAATACGAATAGAGTAGAGCACTCGATTAAGGTATAATTAAGGTTTCAAG